GGCTTGAGTCGATTGGGCCAAACCTAGATCTAAGTACGGCTAGACTGGCAGTAGTACGGCTAGCCACTTCGATAATATGTTGGTCACGACATGGTGGTACCAGGCGCGCGTCAATTTTGTAGCTTGTGGAATTATTGGCATCATCTTAACGTGTATTCATTTGTCTTGCTTTTGATTTGTTTTTTTACTCAATCTATCTTGAGTAGAAATATGCAATTGACGGAAAGGGATGTCGCCTGGTTTCAGAGGTCAAATAAGCTAGAAAATGGTCTCCAAAGTTAAGTCACTTTCAAAGTCTGAGAGTGCTTGGAAACTGTAAAATTTAAATACTTTTTAAATGTGCTTTACATCAACATTTTTTCAGTAAAATCAACATAGAATTCCCTTTTTAATGGACATAGAAGTTGTTGATCAAAAATAAAAAAGGGGGGGGGGGGGGCGATCAAAATAGTCACAGTGTCGGAAAATGTCGATTTCTTAGATTTCAATATTATGACGAGCGCCAGGTTTTACACGCAGCCTCACATAATTATAGTACGTGGGTAACGCAGTAGCATAAAGCGCTTGTCAAATTCTAGAGAACTGAGAAATCCGTCTCTTTTTTCGACTTCTGCTGGGGGACATTTTATGGAATCTTCATTATTATTATTATTTTCATTATTATTATTATTGCTCAGAAGACTTCTCCATCCATTAAAAAAACACCTTTTATTGTGAATTTTACTGAGAAGTGTTGTTGAAAGACAGAAATGTGATACTTATGAAGTTTTAGTACATGTCAAGCTTTTTCGAATGCAATTCTTTGAATATCTTGATAACGACTCTTAATAATCTAACAATTTTGAAAGAGCAGAAAGAACATTTATTGGTTTCTGACCTCATGGTCTTAATAAGTGTAAATGGCAAAAAATTATATAAGATAAAACTTTGTAATTGTAAGGTAGCAAATAGGGTAAACCGTCCATGCCAACAATCGGTCAGTCACTTTGAAATTACGTAAATCGTTCTCTAACTGCTAGGACACGTCTTCCCAAACCAAGTTGAATGGAACAAAATAATTATCTTAATATATCTTAATAATTATCTTAATAAAAGAAAAAGTTACCTCATATAAATGTAGTTCGGTAATTTAAATGTTTCTAATAGAAAGAAACTAAACAAATAATGTAGAA